AGTTAGGCATGTGATCAAGACTGTCACTACTATTGAAACTCAAAACTGTGATCTTTGGATGACCTGCCGAGTATCCATTTCGTCCACAGAGAGAGAGAGGATGAGGATTTCCGCCGCTTGTGAATGAAATCTGTTCCATGTTGATTCCATGTGACAATTTTCGGATTTCCGGTCCCCCCTCTTGCCTAGGTGTCCGCAGTCAATTGAGTATGTCAAACACTTTTTTCTCAATGGGAAGATTGTCGAAAATTACCTGGGAAAAAATAGCGCATCATTTGCTTAAAATGTCCGAGATCTCTATGCATGCGGTGAGGGACGTTTTAGCATGCTCATATTCGGAATCTTTTGGCCTATTTAAGATGAACCGGGACAGTTTCGAACTTTGTGTTCATGTTCGGAAGTGTATAGCATAACCATAGGATATCAGATTTTTCGTAATCAGTTTCCAGCCTCTCCCCGGCTACCACCATTTTTTAGTGTATTGAAACGCCGAAAATGCGTGCCATATCAAATTTGTCGATCATTTGATTACGATGAGCAAACAACTGTTTTATAAGAGAGAACTAGAGGATTTTATTTGATTTGATTAGATGATGATTTCGTCGTGTAAATTTTGTGTGAGCTGAAAAGCTAGGAAGCACTACACAACTGTTGTTACCGGATTAGGTCTCTTATCAGCAGTGTTTGAATCCATCGACCCAACTGGGGACCGAATCCGGAACCTCACAGGTGACCACCGGGCAGTTCATCAGACCGGTTCTTATTTTAAATTTACATGATAGAGCACAATCCATCTTTGCCAGCTTGTTACGGGTTGGTTTCGATTCCCAGTTGGGTCGATGGATTCGCGCACTGCTGATGAGACCCAACCGGGTCGAAGTAGCTGTACATTGCTTCTTAGGTTTTCAGTTCACGCCTCATTTACTAGACAGATTCATATTCTGAACAACAACTGTGTACCCAGCGAGTTTCCGAGATGCTTGGGGTGTTTGCCAAACTAACTGTACCGAAAAACTGTATGAAGAAAGTTGCCACATGTCAAAGTCAAAATCAAAGTTTTATTATGAGCTATTAAACAAAGCAAAAGCTTATCATACCCCATAGGATTTTTATAGAATGTGTTGAATAACTTCACAAAGAGAAAATAACATTGAGAATAATGTGCGTGATCACTCACGGATGTTGAAATTTTAAGTGTTCCAATGCTTTATCAAGTTCAATTGATCGAGAACACACTACATCGGATGAAAGAGAATTTCATACACTGCACACTGACTGCAAACGTGTGATGCCGGCAATCAAGTTGGCTGTTCTCGGTCTTCACCTTTGGTGGATGTCCCCTGAGGTGATCATTTTGAGATAAAGTTAGCATTAAACGGCAAGGGTGGTTGGGTTGATGCAGTATGTTTTATGCCAAGATTAGGTCCCCCCCCCCCGAAGTCGGCGGTATTGAGATGAGTAGAGTCCCAATATTTGCAGTCTTTCGGAGTACGTATTTCTATACAGACCTTTTACCTATTTTGTTGCCAACCTTTGCGGACGTTCTCGGGCCTTCCGGTCGCGGTTCAACCATGGATTCCTTACTTGAACGGCGTACTCCGTGTGTGGCCGAACGAACGCTGATAGCAAGCATGGAAACAGTTCTCTTTCGAACTGCCCGAAAACACGTCCAATTAGTCCAACTTGCTTTGCAGCCATGGATGATGCTCCGGCACAGTGCGTGAAACATCCTAGGTCTTCCTGTACCATAACTCCCAAATCCCTTTCGTCAGTGGCATGCGGTAGTATTTGGTTCCCCAGAACATGGAAGAACCGAGTCTTGTGCCGCATGGAAATAAATTTGCATTTGCAAACGTTGAACTCGATGATACTGGTGATTGACCATCGGTGGGCTGCATCGATCGTTTGTTGGAGTGCTACGTAATCCTCTGGATGTGTACAGTTCTCCAGATGGTGGCATTGCTGTCCAGTGCTTCCGTAATCCAGCCCGTGACAGCTAATCCTTGACTCGCGTTCGGTGATTCCTATTGCGTGGTTTGTATTCAGAATTCCGTGCGTACTACTACTACTACTACTACTACTACTACTACTACTACTACTACAACAATCATTACACAAATATAGCACTCGAATGACCTGGGGTTCGGATTTGAATTTCCTTGTTGTATTTACCATTGAAAACTGTCTTCAGAGAGCTACCGGAACATTTTTTGGATAGTTCTTTCAAAATTGTTCCTTAACGAGGGGCCGGCGAGGGGGGTGCCATCTGGATGTGGTAACATCCAATCTGTCTGAACCTCATATGCTACAGTAGAAGAGAAACGAGTCCCCCCTCTGCTCCCAAGCCAGCCAATACAAGCTTACATTCCCGCGGCAGTGACAGTCGTGATAGATAGATGGCCACCGACCAGATCGGTCCTGAGTTCGAGTCTCATCAGCAAAAAGCCACTTAACTTTTCCACTGCTGAGCACCTGTGTAACCTGCGGTCACACGCTGTCAGGTTAACCGCATATGCATTAGATATGCTTGTATTAAACAAAGAATGCATGATTCCACATACTATTCTCTTCACAGCACATGACCGGCTTCGTGGTTGCAGTCTCTCTCCACAGAAATGAGTATGCAGTAATTCTCTTTCCAGTCCCGCATACACATGCAGTCAGGGTGTGTACTTTCTTCACAATTATCTACTTCACTACGTTGATGAAAGCTACTGTCCATCATATTTTTAGAGTCATTAAATACTACTTATTGCAAAATATTATCGTCAAACAGGTCCAAGTCTTGTTTGCAGTGGTTAGAAACATCTGACCGATCTACGCGACATCGACTCATATTTTTGATTCATAAATGAATTCATTGGTTAACAAAGGTCTATAGATCAATGACATCCAATATCACACAGGCATGCATGCGCGCATGTGTACACTATTCAACCGAGTTGGTCCGATCGAAATCTGTGATTATATTGTGGTTACGTATGTTGGCTACCATCTATCCACCACAGGGGAAATATTTTTGAGCTCATTAGCAGCCTCAGTCTGCTGAAACAAACATTTCAATTCCGTGTTTCAACTACCAGCGAATCATGTTGATTGTTGATGTCTGACGCTGTAAACTTCCCATCGGCCAAAACGCTTTTCTTTTTCCGCCTCTATCGACCTCTATCGATCTCTCTGACACGAAAACTTTGATCGTTTCGGCTAAGTAGTTGGTTTTCTGTCCAGTACCGCC